AATGATAGACTAATAATAATAATAGCAAATAATGTTCGTTGTATAATACGTTGTGTTTTTTAACTGAAAAGATAAGGCATATGTTCCAAATTAGGGCATTTAACAGGATGCAAGAGCTAAAGTAGTTTAGCCGGGTCGTATTTGAAATGTGATGAAATAGAACTTTGTAGACTTATTTTTGTGATCTTAATGACTTATTATGAGAAAATGAATACAGTAATAGTCAGAAACAGGAATCAATTGAAAGAACGAGGCAACCTATAAAGGAAATCTTTTGATGCGTGTTTGAAAATGGGACGTGATGTAAAAGTGCAAAGGTGCACATAGATACTTGGGGTGAATTTGCCATGAATTTTCTCCCAAACTATACAGTAAAAATATTTGAAAATGAACACGATATTAGTCAGGATCACTGTGAACGGGAATCAATTGAAAGAATGAGCAAAGCTATAAAGGAAAGATTTTTGTGTGTTTGAAAATGGGCAATGGCGCAACTGCAAGAATGCACTGTTTTTTGGAGTGAATTTGCCATTAGTGTTCTTCAAAAGCACACGGTAAAAATATGGGACAATTAATACAGTAATAGTCAGGGTCACCGTGAACGGGAATCAATTGAAAGAATGAGCAAACCTATAAAGGAAAGATTTGCATGAGTGTTTGAATATAGGACATCATGTAAAAGTGCTTATGCACTTAGACACTTGGGGTGAATTGGCCTTGAATTTTCTCCAAAACTATACAGTAAAAATATTTGAATATTAATACAGCGATAGTCTGGGTCACTCTGAATACATATGAATGAAAAGAATGAGCTAACCTATAAAGGGACACTTTTTATGAATGTTTGAATAGGTGGAAATAATCCAAGTGCAACAATGGATGTTGATGTTTGGGGCGATTTTGCTTGTGGTTTTGTCCAAAACTATACAGTAAAATGCCTATAAAATAAATACAGTGATAGTCAGGCTCACTGTGAATACACATCAATTGAAAGAATGAGGTAACCTATAAAGGGAGACTTGTTATGAGTTTTGGAAAATGGGACACGGTGCAAGTGCAAGGACGCATTTTGTTGTTTGGTGTGATATTGCTTGTAGTTTTCTCTGAAACGATACAGTAAAATGGGTTGAAAATGAATCGAGTGATAGTCAGGGTCACTCTGAATACATATGAATTGAACGAATGAGCGAACCTATAAAGGAACATTTTTTATGAGTGATTGAATATACGGAAATAATCCACATGCAACAATGGAGTTTGATGTTTGGGGTGATTTTGCTTGTAGTTTTCTCTGAAACCCAACAGTAAAATGCCTTGGAAACGAAGACAGTGATAGTGAGGGTCACTCAGAATACATATCAATTGAAAGAATGAGCTAACCTTTAAAGGGACACTTTTTCTGAGTGTTGGAATATTGGACGCATTTTGTTGTTATACACACACACACATACATTTGATATATATATATATATATATACATATACACACACACACCCACACACAAACATTACATGAAAAAAGCAATGAATATCAAACATTAATACTAACATTGATAAACATGAATAAATTATTTATAAGAATTAATGTACAATACAAAGGTTTATGTACAAAAATGATGTATTTACAAACTAAAAAAAGTGAAAAGAAGCAAATTGTAAAGGAAACGTGGGTATGACAGCTTCTTTACATGCATTTTGAGTGCTCTAAGCACCCGTACCGTAAGTGCACAATGACACGCGCAAGACAAAAAAAGTGGGGCTGGCTTGACCGCAGTGAATGATTCACTAGTGTCTTGGCAGTTGTTGTTGGGTCTTTAGAAAGTTCTCACTAGTTTTCTTTCCAAGCGTTTAGAAATGTATAGCTTCGTGCCACTGTCGTGCGCTGTGTCTCTTGAAATGTCTTGATGATACTCATCACGGCAGTTGTTGACACTTGAAAACGCTTTAAACATGTATATGCTTGTCCTTTGTGAGCACATTAACAAATGTTTTTGTCAAGCGTAAAGTAATGTTTTTGTCTTTGCCATTATGAGAGTACAAATTATTTGACTAGTCGTTTTGCAAGATAGTAATTCTCAGCTTACTGTGCAATTTAAAGTCTTAAGAGGATTAATGAGGTGAATTAGGCAAGTTTGGCTAGTTAGGCAAGTCATTGGACAACAGTGGTTTGTTGCGTAGCCAACGAAACAGATCATTTCTTGAGGGGCCTAATAATATTGACCTTAGCGCACGAGTCAGGTCCGTATATATTTGGACACTGACAATTGTCCTAATTGTGGCTCTGTACGCCAACAGAATAGAATGAAAATCAAACAAAGAAGATGAAATTGAAGAGCAGACTTTAAGCTTTAATGGGAGGGGCTGAACAAATATATATATATATATATATAAATAATATATACACCTAGAGCGGCCGCGATCAGCTCCGGTTCCAGTGTCTGAGTCGTGACGCCCCGCAGATTTGTGCAGAGCGGAGCGCGAGTGGTCACGTACCCATTAGGCACACTTCCATATTTGAGGTCAGATTATAAAAAGAAAAAAGACTGTATGATCATACTTGATGTCTTAACCAATCGATGTTTGTTATCACATAGCTCCTGTAATGTCAAGTATATGGGCCTCCATGTGTTCAGGCTGTCTGGTGGCCATTTTGAAAGCTGTCTGAAAAGTTTCACCAAAAGAGGAGGCCTTTAAATGTGCATTATTGAGATGTGTAAGCATGTATTTTGGGTAAGTTGAAGTAGTTGGTGTAAAATGAAGAGATTAACGTTGAGACTTTTGCATATTCTAACCTGGAACTTGGATGTGGGTAATAATGACAGTTAGATCCAAAAGATAGTTTTAGCAACATAGTGCAGATGCTACAGGACACGGTTAGCTGACTAGCTGTATAAGATTGTGCGCTACAGTAGAACTTGACGGGTATTACTGGCTTGTACTTTGACATCCATAATATTAGAAATGTACAGTTTATTGCCGGTCTGTGGTTTGATCCTGCTGATTTCATATGATTGTAAGGTGAGCTTAAAGGGTGCACTACTATAAAAAGGACACAGCGTGACTGGAATGAGAAAAAGTAGAATTTCATAGATATTGTTAATAGTTGTTCATAAGAAAAGATGTATGAACATAATATATGAGTGTAAGATTATTGATGCCATTTGGCTGGATCAGAAGAAGGTCACAGTCTGAAAAAACAAGGAACTCTCACGAGAATCAACACCTGAACTCTGTCTCGCAAGCCTAAAGCAATACACCCTTTTGAATGCATGTTAATGGGACCAGGGGTGTGCTTAAAGGGTACCAAAAAGGAGCCATGAAGCACAGGCAGATTTGTAGCATTGAATGATGTATATCTTAATTGCAATGCTTGTGTCATTTGAAATGAAATGGGATTGTTTTGTGTGCGAGATGATGTTATTGTAACAACTTTTTGTACTGAAACCAATATGCGTCATAAAATGTGTCAATTGTAGCGTCTGGACCAATCAAAAACACAATTTTTAATTTGATTTAACAAATCAGTTATTCATTAGATTACAAAACTAAATAGAAATGGGTTCACAAAATAAAAACTAAACTAAAACTAACAAAAGTATTAATGAAACCAATAAAACCGAAACAATTTTATTGCAAATTTGAAAATATTAAAATAAAAAGAAATTTAAAAATGCTAAACTATAATAACCTTGGTCTCCAGCAACATTTCCAGTTTTTGTTATTGTTCGATTTTTTTGCTTTCTGCAGCGACTCGGAGCACTTTTCATACCCTTTTTTCTGGCTGAAGCACATTTGTTTCAATCTATAAGAATAATCAGCCTACACTACCGGTCAAAAGTTTTTGAACAGTAAGATTTTTAATGTTGTTGTATTTTTATTTTTTTTTATAATTCTCTTCTGCTCACCAAGGCTGCATTTATTTGATCCAAAGTACAGCAAAAACAGTATACATCGTGATATAAATTTTGGGCATATCGTCCAGCCCTAGGTTGTAGACTTTAACAGTGACACGTGCACCTCCTGGAGAGTGTTACTCTGTGTAATGGAAAGGATGGTGTGATCATCCAACACTGTTGTACTGTGTGAACGTCCAGGTGTTTGTAATGAGGTCAGTGGTGCATTAGTTTGTCAGCACGTATGAGACTGTCGTTGTGTCCATTGGTAATGTTTGTTTTTTGGTGTTTAATTGTTTCACCTGCATGGAGAGGTGGTTTGACCGCATGATGTGGGGTCACAGCAACAATGACATGTGAAAGCTCAGAGTGTGCACTTGAATCCCGTCTGGTCTGGTCTGGTGTGATCTGATGTGATCTGATGTACCCCCACAACCAACCAAACCAAAAGAGAATAATATAAGTAATTTGTTGAAAAGCAAACCTATGTGTATATATAGCCCCTTAGCTGTTTTGAGTGTCAAAGTGTGTAATGTTTTGAACTGTACAGTTTGCAATGGTACCTTTGATATTGTTTGTGGCATGCTCATTTAGGTGTTTGTGATGAAGTATGACAATATGTCATTGAATCAAAGCAATTCTCCTTTTGATTCAATTACATACCTCATCACAAACACCCCAAATAGGACCATTCCACACACAATATCAAAGGTACCATTGCAAACTGTACAGCTCAAAACATTACACACTTTGACACTCAAAACAGCTAAGGGACTATATATACACATAGGTTTGCTTTTCAACAAATTACTTACATTATTCTCTTTTGGTTTGGTTGGGGGGAAAAAAACTACACAACTTTTCCGTGTACGGCATTATAAGTTGAAACATTGTGTAACAGAGATACACACTTCAAACAATATACATGTCACACTTCAAACAATATACATGTCGCACTGTAACTGCTCTTTCGACTGCTTTTTTCACCATTTGGATTATTCCTGCAATATCCACAGATCAATAGTACACCTACACAACTTAACACATCTTTTTCATTCACGCATGGAATAACAGCTTCACTTACATCTCTGTTGCTTCCTATCTCCAGGTGACATACCCAGGACACAAAACCCTCACCCGGACCATTCCAGTGCCATATGGTCCGGACGCATTCTCTGCACTCACACACAACTTTCTCCTGCAAACCAGTGACTACAGCTCAACAGCAACACAACTACCCCAGTCCTGCACCACCCCAGATCTGGGAATCCAGGAGAGCGACAGTGCCACCCTGCTGCCCAGTGTGTTCACTGCACTTACCTTATTCCTCCTCCAAACACTGCTGATGCTGTCCTGACAGAGCAAACACTCTTAAACATTAAGGACACACTCATTTTTGCTTTTATTGCACATTTTTGCCCCTACCTTTTGTACAAAATCCTCACAACATATCTACACTTGTCCAAACTAGCAACACACATGGAGCGTGTCGTCAATATCCACAAGCCACTGTAGTTATGACAATTTTTAGAGCCAAGTTACAAATCCTTGACCCAACACCTCAACTGCTTTACATTTACTTTCAAACTAGCTTTGTTTTACTTCATGTTTTATAATGCCGTCTCATTTCAAATATGCTTCTCAATAGTGGAACATACTATTAGACTCATGAAGGACCACTCTAAAAGTTGATGGTATACAAATGGTATACAACATATACAAAATGGTATTTTTGGACCAAGGTTCTAGTCTGGACTGTTTTCTTTACAGTTATCGTTTCAAGATTTGCAGATACTATGTCAAACTTTCTTTTTGTTTTGTTTTTTTTACTTCACCTCATTTCTACATTGACAGAGACTCTTTGCAAGCCAAATGAAACCTGCTGCTCTTTCTACCTCACACAGTCTCACGTTCAAGACTGACAGTGCCTTCAGTAAACATGCCAAACACCACATCTGCCGTCTCCTTTTTCTCAAGTCACATGCTGTATGCGTACTTTTGTTTTTTTCTGCTAACTCAATATTATTACATTACACACTAATCTCTTCAACTTCCTTACACTATTATTAGGGATTTTCTGATTTTCTATTTTTCTCCTAGTTAATGCATTAACTACAATTCTTCTTTTTTTGCCTAGTTGATGCATTAACCATTTTTACTGTAAGCCAATTTATACTACGCATTTACACCAAACATTTTTACTCATCTAATGCACCTGCAAACAGCAACTCTTCTTATGCTCACATTTTATTGACTTCAATCTTTGTTGCTAACCTCCAGTGAATTATTTCACCAATACTAATCAATCACTGCAAATCACTTCAGTCTAACGTCACTTTTTTTCGCTCTCCTTAAATTGGACCATTCAACTGCACTCGTTTTCTGTTCTTTTGCCATTCAAAATCATTTGCTTTCCCTTTTTTTACCACACTACATTTCTTTTTATACGTTACTTGCTTTCAAAAGTGTTCCCTTTCCAGTCCAAACAAACCCCGCATGCAGCCTGTCAAACAAAAGCTCACGGACATTTGTTACACGATTGTGCACATTTCAAGATATACTTCCACAAATCAACATCCCCATATCTTTGTCGTCAACACAATAGAAAATCCTAGTTTGCAAACAAACAGTAAATGATGATAATTCAAATACACGTTAACTACTATTTTGTCTTCACACACACATTTGCACACTTCCTCAGGAAACATTGCCAGTCACACTAACGTTGTTTTGACTTTAACACTTCACTTTTCATTACCGTTTTTTGCCTAACAATTTCTATGAAGCCCCTATTTATAATGCATTATAATGAATGCATAATGCATTATAAACCAAAACCTATAATGTTATATGAATAATCATAACAACACTTATAATACATCATAACACTTACCCATTTGTGGTTATAACTTTAACAGTATGATTCTTTATAACACACAATCAACACCATATTAAATTGACTTCATTTACAGATTAATGGACTCCATATCTTCACATTGTTTATTTCTGATCTGCACAGTATCTTACCACAGCTTGTGAGTGGTTACATGTTGACTGTTTCCTGTGGAGCTAATGTTCATTCATTGATGTGAGCTTTATACTCCAACTGAAAAAAAATGCAATGTTTTATATGGTTACATTTTATTTTGATGGTCCCCTTAATCAATCGACTATAAGCAACTTTGCAACTACATGCCAACTAACTCTCATTACAGTATTAGTATGCTCAAGAATGGTACAATCTACTATGGCACAAGAACCTGACGTACTTGCAAAGACACTTATAGTCGCTTTATCGGTTGGTTGACCGTCAAAATAAAGGGTTAGCAAATATTTACAGTAGCACACATACTAATACTCTAATGACCGCTACTTGATATGTGGTTGCAGACTCACTTATCAACAGCTGTTTAAAGGGTACCATCAAAATAATCAAACTGATATTACAATACAAACAGTTCAAAGCAAATGTCTCATATTACACATTCATCTGATCTTATGGCTGTTTGAGAGAAAACAAATTATTATTATTACTATTATTATTATTATTACTACTTATAAGTGGTCTTTGACCGCTTTAAGTAAAGTAGCATAACACAAATGGCAAGATACGACACTTATAATACATTATAACTATGACAAATATAATCCATTCTAAAAGTGGATGCAACGTGTTCATTGTGTTATAAATCATCATACTCTTAAAAGCTACAACCACAAATAACTAACTATCATCACATATTACAACTGCTCTTAATTCATGACATGATACAACATATTATAAGCTTTTCTACAATGCATTATGCATTCATTATAACACCTTAACAATACCCTTATCATGTATTATAAATACGGCCTTCATACAAAGTGTTACCGTTTTGTTTTTACACAAACAATGCGGTTTCTGAGGGGTTGCCAAACACTACCATTGCACCTTCCAAATTCATAGTTAGCCCCTTAGTAACAAGGTTCTTCTAGTGACGATACAAATATGCGCTTCATTCAAATTAACACGCATTACTTCCAAGTAAGCTTAATACGATTACAAATTGCATGCTACACATCTCTTTTTTCAGCTATTTGTGCTCATGTCACTACTTTAACCCCTTTGGCCTTTATTCATAAACGCTATGTTTATTCACTATTTATTCATTCATTATATAACTACCACGTTCAACACAGACAGCAACATTTCCTGAGAATGACCCTTCAATGTGTTAAAAGGAGGATCTCGGGCAGACTTTGAGACGCCCCTCTCCACTGCCTAATCCAAGGCCTTCTGAAAACCACCCTTCAATTCTCATGACACTTAAGCTGCCACAAGCATCTTTTCCTTCTAACCCCGATTTGACGGCGTTGTATGGATTGTGCTACCGATACTTGTTTGGCTTTACCTCGCTCGTTCTGAACCGGAGCGCTCTCATTTTCAAGATCTCACCCTCTCAATTCAGCCCCAAGGTCTTCCATCTATGCATTCAGAAAAACACACCAGACAACAGTGAGGAATATACAACACTAGTACCGTTTTCTGCATCAAATCGGTGCTTTTCAATTAATTGCTCAAGTCAATCATTTATTGACACTATTTTCAACCGTCATCACGATGTGCTGGCACACGTTCATTTTTACACACACACCAAATATCAGGGAAATAAAGGAAATATCATTTACATTCCCAACAATTCTTTTTGCCATTCATTGTAATAATCCACACAGATTTTTGTTTGCACAAGGAGTCTGACAGCAGCCAGTGCTCCACACAGAGATCTGATCTGATCATCATTCAGTCTGTCAGGAATGACACGAACAAACAGAACAAACTGAGACCAACTAAATCCACAAGAACTGTAGCAACATCTCCAAGATGCTTCAAGAAATCCTCCTGCAAAGCTACAGTACCGTTAACACTTTAAGGCACTTGTGTAAAAATGCTGTCAAGTGAGGATTTGTGATGGGACAAATTGTTTGTCATTTGTCCCATCACAAATCCTCACTTTACAGCATTTTTACAGCCTTTAACTGCCCAAAAAAAATCCCTTTCAATCAAATATAACAACTCTTTCAATATAAAAAAAAAACATACTTACACTCTTTCACTCAGAACAGCCAGCATTGCGGTCTACTCTCAGGATCAGGAAACGGTCCTCCATAAAATGTGCTGCACACATCTCAATATTTGGGTTGAAGTGTTCTGGAACAGTGTTGTAAATACAACTTAACCACTCATTTCTAGTCGTGTCCATTTTTGGAAGGCCAAACAAACTACTTTCACTTTCACAACCAAACAGCGTCACACACGGCGGCCTACAGTGAGCAGAGGACGGGGGCTACAGTGAGGAACGGCCGGAAGGTTAGAGTGAGCAGAGGCGGTTGGGCTTCAGAACGGCGCGGCCGGCCATTTCGACAAAGGAGCGTCCGGCGGGCTTGCGCCAACCACGTGTGACGACTCCGGGCTGGACTCCGCTTCGTCCACGGTGAAAGCCCATCCGGCGATACACAGTGCAAACTTCTAGTATTTCCTCAGCGACCAGCACGGATCAGCTCCAGGCATGACCAAGCAGATATCGTCCATATTTTCACTGAAACCAAAATGCTTTCAAGTCAGTTATTTCTAAGACTTTTGCGCAGTACTGTTAACAAACAAATTCACAAAAAACAACATTCAATTCATACTTTTTTCTTCCAAATAAACCACCAAATCAAGGGACTTTTGGCTAGCTAACCGTACATGACCTCCTATATACTATTTTATAATTTACATTCTATTACAAACCACCATACAAGCAACAATACTGTTCTTTTCCCAATATCACCATAGATTGCTATGCCTTAGGTAAACATTCGCAGAGCGATCCTGCATTAATACAACCGTTATACAAAGCCAAAAACTGACCACGGCTCCCGACAAAATATTTACTTTACATATTTCTAAACTATATTACAAACATTTACAACTACAGGTACCTAACTATATGGTACATTCATGTAGGTAAGGCTTTCAAAACTCATTTCTCCCGCACAGCTTTTACAACTGTAGCAGCCGCGGCACACTGCCTTTCACCAGACATTACCCACACTTTACTTTCTAACGCTCATGTAAACGCTTACTTTCAACCGCCATGCTCAGCAGATCGACACTTCCAAACAAATGGACACATACATACGCTAATGTACCATGTGGTGCTCCTTTTGTGTACCGCTGGAGAGCAACATGATGCATTTCACTCCTATGAAGTGGAACAATTACATGAATTGTGTAACAAATCACTCAAACTTAACGCACGCATATCACTTCAATTACATCATTCATTCATTTACTTTTTCAATCTCTATAATAGAGGTCTATAATACAATGTCTCATATATATATGGACTTACTCGTGACCCTCTTTACAAAAAAAGAATATAGGTAGGCATTTAGGGTCCCGCAATTTAAGCTGGGGACACGCTACAAGACTACCTGCTCCCACCCCACCAAAGACAACACCGGCACTTTTATTTGAAAACTATTTTACCTATTAAAACGTTACGGTTTGTTTGACTTTTCTCACTTTGTGCTTAACAGAAAACATTCGCTTTCCTTCTACCTTGTTGTTCCTAATAAACGTCACAGCAATGTGTCTTCTATATGTTTTGCATTCAATCTGATGCTTCTCTTTCTTTTTGAAATTATTGCCCGAGGTCTAAGTTTGATTCCCTTCATTATAACAGTTCTAGCGCTATTTCTTAAACATGTATTCAAGCAATAATATATTCATTACCTCATGTAGGCGTATGTCTAAAAACAGGGATTACAAATGAATTGCTTCCAAGTAGTGCCGTCAAACCATTAAGCGCATCAAAAATAAAAGCTTTCCATTTACATAATATCTGTGGGTGTACTGTGTATAGTAGGCTGGGTAACAAATATCCATATTTCTATATTAATCCATTCTTCAATCCCAAGATTCGATTATTCTAGCCCGTTTTCAGTTAATGGACGGAACATTGAAGCGCACCTCTCATCCAATATATCGCAATAAGAATTGTGCTTTGCTACTTTTAATATCAAACAGTCTCCCATTTCTAATTCTGTCCATTGTATTGCACTATTCAAACAATGAATGTCGTTTTGTCGCCGTTTCATTCGCTTAATTATAACATTTCTACAGCTATTTTTTAAACATGTATTCAAGCAATAATATATTAATTCATTTATTCAACAATCCATATCCTGTCTCACGTAATCTCTCAATCAGTGTTTCAGCTGCGCAAACACATCATAACGGCTAAACAATATGTCACGTAACGTCACATTTACCTCAGAAAAACATACTCGGTGACCATCAAATCATTAGTCAGATAGAAAAATAAACTGTAGAGAGGGGCATTTTGCTAAATATATGCACCATATAACACATTCATTCTCATTTTTACTGTTCTTCAATGTTTCATTTACATGAAAAAATCCATCAACTTTTTTTATGACAGCCACCATTATGTTTATGTTAAAATAAACAAGTACAATTATTATGTCATTGGAGCTTTATTATTTTCAAAACTATATTACTTTTAGAGTAATTCTACTAATTTATAGTCATTATAGTAATGTAGTACCAACTGACTCTCGTGTACATTTTACAGCATTAGTTGAGACATTTTTTTCCCTTGAGAAAATTTAGCATGTACTGTACCTGATATCCAAAATAATCGATCTTGAATCAAATCGAATTGGTAATTGAATCGCAAGCTTGTGAATGACAATCGAATCGAATCTTCAAATTGGTGACAAAACCCAGCCCTAGTGTACATTTCTTGTGTATATATATATATATATATATATATACACGCACATACTATATATTTTGAAAATGTTTACATGTATATATTTATATTCATATCATTTTTCTTATATATAAATATATTACATATATCAACTTCACATTTTTCTTCAATATATACATGCATGGGTGTGTATTTATATATACATAATAACTATACACATTACAAACACACACATACCATTTAAACAAAAACTTTTCTTTTGGATGCCATTAATCACAATTCATCATTTGACAGCACTACTTCCAAGTAAAAGTGGAAAGCGATTTTGTTTCCGTATACTTCCCCGGTTACCCATTAGAACTAAATAAATCCTTCATAAATTCAAGGCACTGTCATTTCCTCATCCATCTGATACAAAACTATATATATATATATATATAATATATATTCACATATCTAGAAACGTTAAATAATGTGCTTGTTAATGTTTACTAATAAATGTATTAAACATTACCTAATATTTAACATTTCATGTTAATTAAAATGCTTACGAATGTCATTCAACTTGTAATTCATATATGATCGTGCACATCTTCAAAATCTACAAATGATTTTAACATGTTATACAATGATTAAAAGCTTTTGTTAATGCACAAAAAGCACCTTTGCTGCTGTTGAGGTGTGCTACAGGGAAGGTTAGGGACACACCAAACTGGGTTGGGTAAGGGATCGACAGTGTGCAGGGGTCAATTTCATCGTCAGGGAACACCATTTCATCTGTTTATATTACATTGTTTTCATAAATGATACATGGAAATTTTGTTTTTTTTTCCCCCCCTCCTGTTCATGTATGACTCAAGGAATATTCTGTTTAATGATACACAATAGTAAACTAATATACGTGTTGAGCTGATAAAAAAAAACATGTTTTGCACCCAAATTACAACGTGTGATATGTCTTTAGCTAAACTTAACTAACCCTTTACACAAACATTGTTAAAGTAGCTTAAAGTCCAGTGCCAATAAAGATAATAAAAAAAATTACTAAATGTTTATAAACATTTACAAATGATGAATAGTCTCCACTTTAAATTGGGTACTGCAAAAACATTAACACACAATTAATAAATGATTTGTAAATATGTGAAAATACGGTGAATTCGGGTCATTTGGGACACTTTTTGCCATCAAAATGACTGCTCGTAAAGGTACTAATGATTACTCAATGTTTATAAACATTTACAATTGATGAATACTTTCCACTTTACATTGGGTACTGCAAAAACATTAACAAATCATTCATAAATGATTTAAGATGTGCAAATAGTACAAGTCTACACAACAACCAAAGGCCAAATATATGACCTTTACAGACTGTCATTACGAGTTAATGAATATATTAACATTAACAAATAAGCTTGTAAATATTGTATCATTTCTGTTCAAATCATTTTTACTTTTTTAAAACGCATTGACAGTTCAATGACATTTGTTCACATTAACTCATGATCTGTTAAGCATTATATAATGTTTGTTAACGATTTATTAATGAAGCTTTTAATCATTGTAAACCATCCGTCAAAATCATTTTACAATTTTTTTACTAAAATGCATGATCATACCAATTGACAGTTTAATGACATTTCTAAGCATTTCAATTTACATTAAATAATGATCTGTTAATCATTTGGTAATGTTTAATAAGTTCATTAGTTAACATTAATAAGCACATTATCTCATATTTCTAGATAGGTGAATATATATTAAGTAATGATTGGTTAAACATTATATAATGTTCCTTAATGAAAGTTATTATAAAGTGTTACCGTATATTCATTATGAAGACAATTCGTTAGCATAGCCTAAAGTCGATTTAATATTCTTCATAAATTCTAACAAGTTACGAAAAAATGGAATTAGCTTGTAGTCTATAGATAGAGCTATAGGCTATTTTTTCTTAACTTTTATTAGACTGCAGATGGAAAAAATTACATTCTTGATAATCTTTCAAATGACAATCACTGACATAATTTAAGCTTTGACTGCAGAAAAAACTAAACTACTTACATTTGAAGTGTTAACTTATGAATTAAAAGACAGATGAGAAATAAATCACAACAAGAACAATCGAGATTTTTCTTGTAATAGAGAACTTTTTTTTTTTTTTTACAAAATTACAAAACAAATGCTGAATGATGTTTAACAGTGAGCATCTCCACTGCCCCAGGTAACTAGGGTCAGCCGATGTCACAGCGCTAGCTGGAGGCAGCAAAACAAAGGGGAAACTGGAGGTGGCCCATTCAAACCAGCGCAGATTCGGCTACATAAGGAGCTTAAAATATCATCTTGTTGTGATGTTGGGTGCCAGAATCGACGTAATACAGCCTCAAATTAGACATTTGATCGCATATCTGCTGCCACTGCCAGACAAAAAACCCACGACAGCTGTGGTTAAACGCCATAAAACGAGCGGACTGGACGGAAACGATCGTCAAAAATGCTCGCGTTTGCAGCGCACACTTATCATCAGAAAAGGTTCAATAAAGTATTGTCTTTTGTTGTTATGGGCGCGTCTACAGATTTCTTGCCATATGTCAATCACAGCTACTTTATGCAGGCTGTGTGCATTTTACTGTGGACTGACCGTTTTGAAACTTATATGGTCGTTAAATAGCCCCTAGACCTCAGTTACCGTGAAAAAACGCCCGGAATTTTCAGTTTTGACAATATGGGACCTTTAACTCACCATTGTTGTGAGTCGTGACAAGTCTCATCACTTTCAGTACAGAAGAGGTGGAACTGTGTTGATGCCCAGCTGTCCGTAGTGTGCCGTGTGTTACGCTACTGCAACGATGTGGTCACATGGTGAGCTCATAGCAATGCGGGAAAAGCTGCAGGCCGGTATTGGAGGGTGGGAAGTCCTTCGGCACAGGAATCTGTGAAGATGCAACACAAAAGATACTTTGTTAAAACAATGGCAATGGTCACGATTTCATATTATACAAATATTTTTACCATATTAAAGTTACAACCAAAAGTTTTATAAGCCTTTTTCACCCAGTTTCACTAGGCTCCTAATGATGTAGAAACACTCAAAAACATTTGTATAAAATGAGCTTCTTTTTAAACATAATGGGCCTCATTCATGAAACATTCGTAAATATACAAGTCAATTCTGAGTAATTTACGCATAAAACGGACCTTCCCCAAAACTCTCCTCCGTATTCACAAATACTTCGTAAAGGTCAGATTTGATAGTTAAATGTGTGTATGTTAATGAATTCCAATCATTCGTAAATAGGGCGTGCACGCACGCTCATTCACAATTAGCATATTCCCCGCCTATGAATTACAGCTACGCAAATTACGTATCTAGGAATGGTGTGGAATACTTTATAGGGGTCATATGATGCGATTTCAACTTTCCCTTTGGAGTGTTACAAGCTGATTGTGCATAGATAAGATCCCTGAAGTTGCAAAGACTAAAGTCTCAAAACCAAAGAGATATTCTTTATCAAAGTTAAGACTCTGCCACGCCCCCCTAAAACGGCTCGTTCTAACACGCCCCCACATATCTACCTCACTATGTGGAAATATTTGCATAATGCGGCCCAAATGTGCACGCAAAGAAAGAAGGCGTGGTTTCAGTAACCGCAGTTAGTGTTGAAGCAGCCATGTCAGGGAGACGCTGTGTGTTTCTAGGCGAAAGCAAAAGCACTTTATTTGGTCTGCATTTACGAATCTTTAAGATTAGCTACTTACAACAGAACAGCAATGCATTTTATGGACGACCGTTTCGTGAACCTAGGAGAGGAGGTAATGCGGAGTTTTGAGCATCGTGTGTGTGTGTGTGTGTGTGTGTGTGTGTGTGTTTTTTGAACCTTAAAGCATGTCAACATATTCTGTTACACCAAATACACAAAATAATGATCTTTAAAAAAAGCATCATATGACCCCTTTAAACTTAATTCTCAGGTTTGCAAAGTTATATTGCACAAATGCATAACAGACTGGCTATAAATAAACGAAAACATTCACGTGTGTCCACCAGAGTGTTTTTAGCCAGCTGACAATGCCTGGTGCTCTTCTGAAAATGACCAGCTGGTGGTGCTTCAGAGAGCTTTAGAGGTAGTGCTGGGCGGTATACCGGTTCATACCGAATACCGGTGTTTATTTTTGTTATGATATGAATTTTTTAAAATACCGCAATACGTTGTTGCTTAAAATGTTGCTTAAACAATGTTTGGTTGTTATGATATGACTTTTTAAAATACCGCACGTGTATGTCGCTTAAACAACGTTCAGAACACGACACTGTTTCTTTGAAAAAGGTCCCTTTTCACTGTTGCACTGTGGTGAGGGAACAGCTGTATGTGTTACTAAGCATGAAATTTCCAAAACTGAAGCTGTAGAACTAATAGAACGTGATGACACAGAAGAACTAATCCACAATATCCACATTGACCGCCACAAATATCCACCGCCCCCTGCCATCAGCTCCCGCGTCTCTCACACACACACACACACACGAGCGCAACTTCAGCACTACATTTAGCAACTTTCAGACCCTTTTAGCGGCTTTTTTCCATATAATATTCATATTGACAAACCTAGCGACTTTTTTGGATAATCCTCAGTTGGAAGATTTCGCCAGTGCTGTCCCGCGAACGCGAGGTCTGACTTTCCCGGAGAAGTGTCACCTGTTCTGTGCAGTGAGCGGCAGAGAAGCAGCTCAATATAGGAGTACAAAACAACGTTTCCTAGCACCTGTCGCTTACTGATTGTTTGGAATTATAAATATGAGCGTAGTTCGTCTGTTAATATCACATGCACTTTTTTGTTTGTTGTTTTTAGTTTGTTACTCAGACAGTGTTAGACAGTGCGCTGCACGAGACAAAAAATATAGCCAAAACAACCGCATAGCCACTCTTTAGTGTAGATGCATGTTGATTTTATCAGATCGTGCCACGAATATAAATGAGAGTGACTCCTGGTTAACATGTATTAAAAGGGGTCGTGTTTAGTCACTATTTAGTGTGGTATTTTTTGACTAAGTCAATATACTGCAGTATTTCCTCTCTCAATCAGTAGAAAATATGGTTAACACCTGGTCATACATGAACAAAAAAAAATACCGTCATGTACCATGAAACCGGTACGGTTTTTGGATTTTGAAAAATACCATATTATACATTTTTGGTCATACCGCCCAGCACTATTTGGAGGCACTGCATTTTTCTGGAGTGACACGTTGTTTGCTATGATTTGGAATATTCACGCCAGGAACATGTTACGAGTATCTTATTTTGAAGAATATTACCCAACATAAAAATGCAGTAACCAGCAATATTAACTTCTCCATTGTTGTGTTGTACAAGTATGACTGTCGGTCAATGTAGTGTTTGTCCCGCCCCTCCTCCACTGTGATTGGACGGCTGTGTAAAAGGGGACAGTGACGAGCTGTGCGTTTTACCCAAAGTTAAAGAGAAAAAAAAGGCAGGTCAAATGAACTCGTTAAATATCATTATAATACACAGTGCATAAAAATGCAGTGTCATCACTTTCTCTAAAATAATACAGAACGTTTGAATGTTTTATGCACCTTTATTTACACATGGTAGGGAGCACGTGTACATTTCTTTCCTACCAACTAACATTTTCAAAATGCGAACATTTTCATGCATCCGAAAATTTGTCAGAACAACTTTCCCAATGATTTACACAAAAATTAGTTCTGCTTGTGTTTCATGAATGAGGCCCATTGTGTGTGCACTAACAAAATGGAGAAAGGTGGAACAAAATTACATGGAGCGCACTTGATTTATCACTCAAAACCCAATCCCATGGTATATTTACATATTTACATTTAGTTCGTCCAGTGCCTGTCACTATTGCTATAGGCTATACGGTATAGGCTATATGCCTAACAATAAATGAAAACATTAACACGTGTCCACCAGAGCGTTTTTAGCCATGCAGCTGACATAATGCCTGGTGCTCTTGAAGTCCATGTCGTCAAGTCACCAATGATATTTGGACTTGATATTTGTAAAAATGATTTACAACACATTTTTAAAAAAAATAGCATTTCAAAGGAAAGGAAAACGGTATGTTTTTGACACAATGGTGCCGACAAAAACAGTGTAGAAAACTGATATTATATTCTAAATTAGGAGTGCTTTTCATGCAAAAACCTTCACATAATTTGACTTCAGAGAACATACAACAACAACAACAACAACACTACTAATAATAATGCACTTCATGATCCCTTTACAAATCAAAACGAAAAAGCTCCAACAAACCTGCCTGGAAGTTGGTTAGTAATTCTGAAGACCCTGATTAGCTGATACAGGTGTGTTATATTGGGGTCGGGACTGAACTCAGGCCCGTGGCCCTCCAGGAGCAGGACCGGACACCCCTGCTTTACACAATCAATTATCCATCGAGCAAGGGTGTCCAAACTCGGTCTTGGAGGGCCACCGTTCTGCAGAACTTAGCTCCGACTTGCCTCAACACACCTGCCTAGAAGTCTCTAGCATGCCTAGCGTAGCGAGACCTTGATTAGCTGGTTCAGGTGCATTTAATTGGGGTTGGAGCTAAACTCTGCAGGACAGTGACTCTCCAGGGCCAAATTTGGACGCCCCTGATATAAAGCCATACATACAACTCAAAATAAAATGGTGGTGAAACAATCCGAACGGAGATAAATCTTCCAACAAACACAAAATTGCACATTCATATATAAAAGACCCACATATAACAACACTCCAATTTGCTACATTTTAAAAGAAAAGTAGTGTCTGCATTGACTTGTACCTGAACTTTAAAGTGGACGTCCCCAAGCCTCTTTAGTTGCAATGACACAGCTCAGCCATCAAGCATTTATTTCAGCGGAAAAGTGCCTGAAAAACAGATTTACAAAAATGTGTATCTTTACAAATCTCAAGGAAATGCTGTAGTAGCTACACCTAAACAGCCTAACACCCGATTAAATCGCAGCTTAAAGTTTCGGGTCGTTTCTCACGTGCTGTGCCAAAGCAAAGGCGCAAAACAAAACGTTACAGACGCTTTACGTTATAAGTGTTTTTAAAAAAAGGATTATTAAAGTGTGGCGGACCGCCAAACTCGAACGTAATGTAATTAATGGAAATATCATTACACATCCACCCATTCGTTCCACAAACCGCGGGACGCTGGAGAATATCCCAGTACACAATAACCCCAATCACGCCAAGTAGCCTATGTTAGAGCAAGAAGAGAAAACTCACCTAACGTTACGTTCAGAAATCAACAACGCTCTGCTTATTATTTCATGTGAAGTCTAACAACTTACCCGGGCATAGCTAACGGGAAAAGGCGAGCAACGCAAGGCGCACGATTCAGTTCGCCTCGACTCTCCAAACTCGCATCACCACGCCAAACGAACACGTGCGTTTGACACGCGCCGCTACATTTTACGCACGCTTTGCCCCACGCAAGCGGAAATTACGCGAGGTGCAGGCTACCTTGTGGTTACGTAACCAAAAAGTTACACCGATAAAGAAACGCCCATTTCACAACCACCACTTACAGCATGAGAATATTACCCTCAAAGTAGTCAATGTAACTCGAAACCAGGGTCAGAAATTAAATTACATGAAATGAACCCCTTGTATTGAATTCCAAGTACATGTTTACCTTTAAAATGCATTTTTGTATTAACCTCCTCAGACCCTGCATCCTCATATGAGGACATTATATTTGAGTCAATTTCTCTGAGACTATACATGCCACAGTTTGAAGTCTGGATGTCCTGTACAGAGCACATTCAGGGCTTTTCAGAGATACTAAATGTTTGTATCACAACCGTGACCACCCCCTCTCATTGGTCTTCCAAAATGTCTGATATTAATTTAGTGACACTCTTATGGAAATATCATCATATTTTGTAATTGTCATTTCAATCGGACACATTTTTAAACTGTGTGTCATAAATCAACATCTCAGGAAAATGTTATGGGGTTTCAAATCAAAATATGACTTTCTGTTACGAAACAGGAGGTTGATTTCATACATGTCCTCATATGAGGACACCGGGACTAAAAGCATGTTTATTACGCATTTTGGGTTTATTACACAAATGAATAGGGAAAGAAAATATCTTTCAATATTCCTATAAAATATGATATATTATGATGAAAATCTTGTCAATTACTACTCTCAATATTATACTTCTTTTTTCATTACACGTTGCCCCAAAAACACATTAATATGCAAATTAGATTTAGTTTATAGATACATTATATATAATGAGAAAACCTGTTTATGGCCATTTTACACACATTTTGCAGGAAGAAACACACATTTTGCATGAAGAAAAATGGTATATCAACTCATTCTGTTATAGCGTAGTTGAGAATTATCTTTATACAAAGTTTGGTAAAAAAAAACATCCTGAAAACTACAAATGTGTTGGTGATTTAAAAACAAAAAACAATTGTTTTGGCCTATCCATGTTCATTCATGTCTTTTTATTTTTTTTAAAGAAATTGAGTCCCGATGTCCTCTACCAAGGACGTAGCATAACCTATGAATGAAATATCTTCTTTTTTTTTTTTTTTTACATTTTTTTAATGCTCTAAACAATGTAATGACATCAAAAAATATGTTTTGCCAGGTCTTAAGAGGTTAAAAGTAGCCTGTCTTGTTTTTATATCAACAACTCTAATTTAAACAATTACTTCCAATCAATCAAAAAACCCTTACCAATCAAAATATATAAATATGGCTTTACACTGCAAAACAAGAACAGAAGCTGGATCTCATGGGGATGCAATATTGTGACCTTTTTTTTTTTTTTTTTGTCTGGGCAACAAGCTGAAGCAATGGTCATTCCCCAGTTCAAATATAAAATGAAAGGACAACAAATCATCTAAATAGGTGGAGGACGTCTCGTTTTTTTTCCCTGTTTTTGTTTTCTGTACGTTTAATGAATGCAAAATCATCATCATCAAGACAAGATTTGACAACAGTGCTTAACAGATTTATTAGAGCACAAGAGCACAAGTGTAAGGTTTGTGCCACAGCAGCACTACACTTTGATGTTGATTACCAAAATTATTTTTTCTTTCTGTAATGGTTAATCCACCAGTATAATCTATAAGCTCTTTAGACACAGTAATGTCATGTTTATAATGCTACAATATAATTATTGATGTTAACCATGATTTTTCACATTTACTGTTTTACAAGAAAGGCTGAAAAATTAGTAAAACACTTTTTATTATTATTTTTTATTCAGATGCCCAATTACAGTCATTAAATACAGCTTAAATATTTATTATACCACCTGTCATAATAAAGAAAAAAAAACACAAATATTTTAGGAATCTCAACAATCTCAACAACCTGATCTGCTGTGTATTTATTTAAACCACAAATGTTACCTGCAGAGGATTTCATTTTATTTCTTACAAAAGTTACACTAAGCATCTTTGGTATGTCTACTACTATTTTTATTTTTATTTTTCAGATTATCCGACAGGAAAGGCAATGTTTTTTTAAAGAATAAGATCTAATGAACACTTTTATTCAAGTATTAGCCAATTTGGTCTGATCAGTTTGCAAACTCGTCCTTTCTGAAGTATACTTTTACATTTTGTTCATTTAACTAATGATTGATCAACATCAAAATATAAGCTTTGTGGTTTCATCGCATCCACTTTCATGTACGGGAGAAGGGTGACGAGCTGTGATGATGGGCAACCAACCAACAAGCAGCAGTCACTGGGCGACTGAATGAGTCCAGTGTCCACAAGCACTGCTGGAGTCTTTCTAAGTGCTGTCATTTACTGCCAGCTGTATTGTGGCGCTTCCTTTGCTGGAGCAAAAAAATAGCAGTGGTACCGCTCTTGCTAACATACAGTATACGGTATGTTACTGTACACTACTGTACATAAAAAATTATTTGATCTGTGATTGGCCAGTAACTATTATTCCAGAGAACCCCGAAAGTATATATTCAATAGAACTGTGCAACCTAAAAAAAATTGAAAAGCAATAGAAAACAAGGAAAAAAGCAATAGCAGGCCAGCAGCCCTTGCAGTGTAGCTGCAGAATATATACTGATCCAATAAAGCTCAACATCAAGCACCGTGACAAAAATTCCAGAACATCCCTTCAGGGCAATTTCTGACTGTGTAAACCACTCTTACAGTTTCAAAGGGGTTGTAAAAAAGATTTATTTCTTTTTAAAGCCATAAAGAAATGAAGCAAGTGGAAGGATGACTACAGTTTTGCATTGGGTCAAGGAACAGAAGGCTACTGAACGAAAAAATGCGCGCAACCAAAATATTTCTGCAGGGGGCAGTATTGCTCTTTCTCACAGCCCTTGACTTCTTGGCTCTCATATAAGGAAAGTTGTTCTTTCAACAGTGCTTTTCCGTTAAGCAACCAAGCCATAGCAAATCCATGAATACATGCAAAAATATATAAAGACTACAAATTAAATGCATGAACCCTAAATCATTTATGTGATATTTAGATATGCAATCCCTCACTAAATTGCATGACATTATGTTATATATTTTATACTATGTATTTCTTGAATGTACACATTTGCATTCGGTTTGTTTTGACAATAATATATTTGTAATGTAATTGTTATTCAAAGTATTAACTATTTAATTGGCCATTCATTATATTATAATCATTATTTGGTTTATTACATTTAAATCATATTATTTTAATTTCTATTAATTTACATGAGTTTATATAAAAATATTAGGCAGTAGGACAGCCTCTTGAAAAGGTATATGGATTATTATATAAGACAGGCAAATCATTTTGTTTCCGACCCTTAATCATGCACTGCATAATGAATTTATACTTTCGCCATCTAACTGGTGATACAAGGTCCCAAGATTTCATTTAATGACACGAAACACTCTTTTTTGCATCAAGCTTTCCTAGAATTGGCAAGGCAATAATCTTTAGTGTCTTTAGTGTCTGTTGTGAAATTTGGTATTTTGTTATATTTGTCTTTTATGCCAAAAATCGTTAGGATATTAAGTAAAGATCATGTTCCATGAAGATATTTTGTACATTTCCTACCGTAAATATATTAAAACGTAATTTTTTATTAGTAATATGCATATATTAAGCACTTCATTTGGACAACTTGAAAGGCGATTTTCTCAATATTTAGATTTTTTTTGCACCCTCAGATTCCAGATTTGCAAATAGTTGTATCTCAGCCAAATATTGTCCCATCCTAACAAACCATACATCAATGGAAAGCTTATTTATTCAGCTTTCGGATGATGTATAAATCTCCATTTCGAAAAATTGACCCTTATGACTGGTTTTGTGGTCCAGGGTCACATATAAGATTGAAAAGATCTGATGATATGGTAATGTTGTCAATAAACGTACTGTTACGCAAGAAAAAAACTTCATCTTCATCATCATCATAATCATTAACTGAATAAAATGAATTAATCTATGAAAATGTTGCCATTTTCCACCCAAAGCCCCAATGTCTGATTTTTACAAACAGATATTTCTTGGACCGATTCTTTCTGTCTATTTCAGTAGACATCTAAATGTGTTATTGCCATTGCTTCTGTGTGAACAGATAGCCTATGGCAGAATTACTTTTCATGCCTTCTGCTTCTTCCTAAAGTTAATTATGCTCTTTTTCTTTCTGACTTCAGAAGACGCTGTTGTGCAAATCTTCTTAATGTAGTGCAGAACATAAAAACAGAGGAGCCATTTGCTCCTCTCTGTGGCTCTGAGCAGATGTGGGCGTTAAAGAAGTTTGTATTATTTGGACCCCCTCCGCTCCGAAGCTCATTTCAATGTATTATAACAAGTAATGCATATTAACAAATCTGTGATCGGGCTCGTCTAACAAGAAAATCCACAACATAAGTCAGAAAGAAGTTTTTGGGACAGAATTCAATGCGACAGCTTGAGTTACTAAGTTTGGAAGCGGTGGATTTTCTTCTTTATTCAAGGAAGTCAAGGAAAGTAAAACTACATTAAAGCCCGAGGCATCCGACGTTCACTTGTTATGAGTCATCATGAAATATTCTTGTTTCTACACACAAATTGGACGAGTTGTTTTATTCCAACGAATGTCTGCAGAGAACAAAAAGAGGGTACTATAAGGTATTGAACGTGCAGAAAAATCAAAGGTGGAAAAATATGTATGTGGCCTGCAGAAATAAACACTGTAGAGTTACATCAGGCGACACTCAGGTGAACGCTTTACTGATCTGTTGATGTCAGTTTAAAAATGTCAAATTAAACAAATTAAAATAGTTGTGAACACGCTAAAAATGCCACCAAAAAAGAACGAGGAAATCGAAGACATAAAGAAATCGCTTGATTTTCTGTCGCAGGAAATTCAGGGGCGGTTCTAGACCACAGTAACTGGGGGGGCCAGACAGGGGCCACTTGTGCTTTTAGGGGGCACAATTTTAAAATTCATCTTAAACTATTTTAAGTAGCCTATTATTCATT